AAAGGCAGTGCAGCTTTGGGAAGCAGCAAGACCATTGTTTAAGCGCTCTTCGCAGCAAAACCAAATTGCACATCTTGATGAAAGACTTGCTGACATGGTCGATGTCCAACCCGAAGAACATCGAGACACCCTCATTCGTCTTTTAAGCCTAAATGCACCTGACACCAGCCTAGACAAGCAGGCCACTGGCCGAATAGTTGCTAATCCTCTGCTGATCTAAAGATATCATGTATCAACACACTGTGGGTTGAAATTAGGACTGGTGTATGTCTCTAGCTTCCCATAGTTATTTGTGTTTGAGGATACACTATTCATGTGATGAGCTTTATTTACTGACAACTTCTTCTTTTACTGTGCGTCTATCAAAAAAAAAATCCTTCAAATAAAAAGCGATGGCTGGTCGAACATCTACTTATATCTGTGAAATGTATGGATATGCAGGTGATAAATATTTGGTGGATATATATTAGTTGTAAGCGAAGCAGTCTGCTGTGTGCCTGAGACTCGACAAATTGTGCACGATGAAGAGTCATGAGGTACTTTTGCTGCTGTGCTCGAATGGAACCAGCAGAATACTGGGTTGGTGTGCTCACCGCCGGCCAATGGGAGAGCTCTGAAAATTTCGCCTAAAACTGCTAATAAGCTCTAGTGTCATCCTACACCCGCGCAGCCACCAGATCTACATGCACACTGCGCCTCATGCGCCTCCCCATGACCATCAACAGGATTTATACAGTCCATTTTGTGAGGATGGACTGCGCTGTTTCTATACTACCAGTGCGGTATCCATAACTGTGAGTGCCGACATTCCGTAGTATTTTTGGAGGACTCTACAGCGGAGCGACTCGAAGGGAGAAAAAAAAACATTTCTTGAGCCCACATGCACTGGGGGGGAGTCGAACCCAGTTCGTCACGGTAACTATTTCAGCGTTGGACCATTGAGATGATGGATGTACCGTCCACTAGCATTGCTTTTCTTATACCTGTAGAGTGCACGATGATCGCACTGAGGAGGGACAAAAGAGAGGGCTACCTGGAACGTAAGAACGCACTGGCGGGGAGTCGACCCCTAGTCCGTCGCCGCGGAGACTGCAGAGACGATGTGATGTGCCGTACACCGCCGGTACTGTCCCTGCCGCTGCAGGGGGCGTAATTTATGCGGTAATTTCGGGGGTGCAGTGCGGTCGGGGCAGGGTCTCAGATGAGATGTCCTAACAATAAGCAATATTCAATGGTGCTCGCACTCATCGATGGTGAGGCTCTATTAGAATCAGTCCAGGTACGTAACAAGCAATGAATTCTTACAACTAGCAAGTAGAACGAGTTCGAATTATTAGAGTGTCGAGCGATTTGGTTCGTAGCTGGTTTCATAACTATTGGTACGGGGGAGAGGTGGGCGAGGGGTGAAGATGGTCGTAGTCGCAGCCGTCACATCGGGTGGGCAGCAACGGGATGAAGGCGCGCGCCATCTTGAGCTCATTTGCGAACGTCGCCAGCCAATAAATGAGGAGGATAAAGGGACGATGAGGGGGGATGGGGGAAAATACAAGGTAAGAGAGAGAGTAGGACACCAGCGCCGGAGGGGACCGCTACAAGCGCGGGCGCAGGCACTAAGAATGCCTGATGCTTGCCGCGCGGAGGATACTACGCCTGCGGTAGCCGAAGCGGAAACTGTCGCGTGCTCCAGAGCGCTGGCTCGCGCGTGCGGGCGCCAGTCTGACTTGAAGTGGATAGAATAAGGTGGCGACGGGATACAGCGAATGGAGCAAGCCCAAATGAGGACGAGCGAAGGCTAGGGAAGGAAGGACGAAGTGCGCGAACGCACAGAAGGACAGGGAATCCAAACGCAGAGAGCAGTGCAAGCGCAGGTGGAATAAAAAAATCCAAAAGGAGAACGACGTACGTGCTATACCCAGTGAACGAGTTCCCCGCGAGGTTTTGCATCACCCACACCATGCACACGATCTAGCTCCCCCACATGGACTGTCGGCGCTTGCTTTTTCAGCACAAAGAAAAAGCTGAAGGCGCCCGCGAAGGAAGAGCACACGCCCTCGCAGAAAGCAACGCGCCCCGCGCCAAAAGAGAAGAAGCCCGCGCGCAAAGAAGAAAAAAAATCGAGAGACTCCGACGCACCTCCGTCCTTCTCAAATCCGTCCCGCGAAAACAATCCCAATAGGTCGCGCCCCTTGTAATCCTCTCCTCAATCATCGTCGTGGGCCGCATCATCGCCAGCATCTCGTCCATATCGAACCCCGTCTCCTTCTTCCCCTTGCTCGTCAGCCTCAACAACGCCTTACGTGCCTCGGGTATCCTGCCGCGGCGGACGAGCCACCACGGCGACTCCAGCGTGAGGGAGATGCCGATGAGGGGCGGGACCGGCCACATCCATTGCAGGGCATACGGGATGGGGTATGCCCACTGGTCGGTGCGCGGATGCCGATTACCTGGCCCAGCCCCCAGCAGACGCTGACGTAGGTGGTGAGGTAGCCGCGGAGCGCGACGGGGCAGACTTCGGGGGCGTAGGTTATCGTTACTGGGGGAGGGAAGGAATGGGGTTGGTAAAATGAAGGGAAAGAGGGGGAGAGGGGAACAAGGGAAGAGAGTAGGACCGCCGCCGGCGCAGGCACTAAAGATGCGGGCGGGCAGCGCGAGCCAAGAGCGCCTGCACCGCACGAAGGGGAGTGCGCGGAAAACCCCGCACAGCTCGCCGGGCGGGAATTTCAGCGCCGCGTACTGCGATGAAGCAGAGAATGCGCACCGCGCGCTGCAACGCCAGACCAGCGCAACGACCCTCCCCGCGTTCGATGGAAGGGAAAACCTACGACGCAAATGAACGCGCGCGTTCGGCGGGCCCCGAGGCGCGGGCGCATACATGGATGAAGGATGACGGGGAGGACGAGGACGCCGCAGGCGCGGGCGGATGGGCGCCCGAGCATGAACCGCCCCAGGCGCATGCATGGAGAATGAATGCACGGGGCGCAATGGCTGCGGAACGGGCCCCGAGGAAAGCAGGGCTGCCTGCCTATGCGAATGAACCGCCTGCCTTACGCGGATGGCCTGCGACGCCCCGAGTACACACCGTCGAAGGTCCGCCCGCAGTGCGAGCACAGAATTCCCGGGGCATGGTAGGGTCGAGAGAGAATAAAGAAAGCAGATTCACGCGTCTGGAACACGCCTCACGGGATCCCGCACAGCACCTCTGCGACCTGCAGGCTCGCCATATTTTTCGCCGTGAAGAAGAGCACCGTGAACCCGATGATGGCGACGAGGCAGTAAGTTGGAGAGCAGACAGACGTCGTAGCCCTCCATCGTCAGGTACAGCCTTAGTCCCTGCAAAAGACTTATCTCGTACTCCCGGTCCGTCGCCGAGTATCCAGCCCCATCCACGCACATCAATTTCCCCCTAAAAAGGCAGACGCACCTTGGCATTCCTCGTCATCTCCCGTGCCTCCTTATCCATTTCGTGTAGAGGTGGCTCGCGGCGTCGAAATGCAGCGGGGCGGCCATCGTCGTGGGGCGGGAGGGGGGAGAAAGTTGGGAGAAAGATTGATGGTGGAGTATTTATCCGGAGACGGCCGATGTCACCGTCACACGGCGGGGTATCACGAAATCCCGGTCATGTGATCGATTCTGTGCGCATTGGCGCCTTGGGCTTTTCTCAAAGACGCGCGAATCGATCTGACTCCGGGCGAGGCCGGACAATTGAATGAAAATCCAACTAAGAAATTAAACTAGAAGGCAGCATCGCAGCATTAATATTGCCGGCATCGAACCTTGACCATGGAGTTAGATACCGCGAATAACGTCAGCTGTCATCTCGTTCGCTAATCCCGCATCGCAATCATTCCATTTTGTACCCAGGTCCACATACTTCTCCGCGGGGTAATTTCCTAGCCCAGAAAAAAAAAGGTGAATGAATATCTAGGTATGCACCAGCAGGGAATCGGACCCCTCTCGCCGGAACTGACTTCTTATTTAATTTATTATCAGGTCGGCGTGTGTTCCATACACCACCAGTGCTCCCTAGCCTCCTTCTCAGCCTTGTTATCTGCATTAGATTTCTGTCTGGCAGGATGCAAAAAGATCAGGGAACGATAAATGCAGGCACTAGGAGGAATCGACCCCGTGTCACCGCCGCAATGTTGTACCATTGAGATGAGGTCGGTGCGTGCTCCATACACTAATGGTGCCCACCCCTTTCATTCTAGGCTTGCTTAACTGCGTTAAATTTTAGCATCTACCAGAGAAAAAAATCTGAAACCGCAAACATATGCACTCGCGGGGAATCGAACCCCGTCTCACCGCCACCTTACATGCCGTCGTTGTGTATCATGTCGGTGGTGGGTTCCACAGACTACTGGTGCTCTCTACCTTGATTATCAGCCTCGTTAGATTCGGTTAGTCCTTCCCAACCAGGATGCCAAAAAGCGATAAACCAAGAAGACATGCACCAGCGGGGAATTGAATCACCGTCGAACACTTCGGTCCATGTATGTGTTCCATACACCACTGGTGCTTTCTACCCTCATTATCAGCCTGAGTAAGTGCATTTGATTTCCTGCATGTAGGATTGTGGCTCCAATCCCATATCTCTCTCCTCAAATTGAAAACTGAATAAAAATCCAGCCAAAAGTCCAGGGCGAATGCAGCATCGCAGCATCGGTATTCCCGCATGGACCATGGAGTTAGATACCTCAACTGTCACTGCAACCCTGCTTGCGCGCCTCACAAGGATTGTGCACCAGTGAACATGATATCGAGATTCGTGGCTCACCCTGTCGTAGAATGTCTTTTCACACACGGACAGAGTTTGTTTTCTGACACGGACTGCCTGAGACACGATCCGGATGGCGCATCGATCTCCGGTGAGTTGGCTAGATTTTTTCTGGGAGTCATCTACATTTTTCTAGGAGGGAAGTGGAGGCGATCACCCTAAAAGGATCATATCTCCGTGGGGCCCAAATTGTGCTCGATAGAAAAAAGTTCAGTCCCACCGGTTATGCACCAGCGGGGAATCGAACCCCTTCCCACCGCAACCCAGGGGCCTCTCTATCAGATCGGCGTGTGTTCCATACACCACTAGTGCTTTCTACCCTCATTCTCAGCCTCTTCAGGTGCGTTCAATTTTGTTCCGCGCACAGGGTAGCAAAAATCGTAGTTTCTCTCCTGAATCATGCGCCCGCAAGGAATCGAACCCCTTCTCACCGAGACCAGGATAGGCTACTCTATCAGATCGGTGGGTGTTTCGTACAGCACCGGTGCTCCCTACCCCTGTTTTCAGCCTGGTTATCTGTGTCTAATTCTGGCAATCCTAACAGAAAGATTGTCCACAAGTCCACGGATGCAGGCAATCGAACCCCGTTTCACCGTGCCGTGTAATGCTACCTACCTACCTACCTACCTACCTACCACCACCACCAATGTTACATGAAACCTCGGATGAGGTCGGCGCGTACTCCATACACCACTGGTGCTCTCCAACCTCATTCTGAACCCCGCGGACGATTTTTTTCTTCCATTTTGGGCCATTTTTGATGTTTTTGACGAGGACAGCTGCCCCGGCCTCAAATCATGACCGTTTGCCTCGGGAGTAGGCCGATTCGGTCGGCATCGATAATGCGCAGCGAACGGCCTCTTCAGAATCTCGTTGCGACGCCTAAAGGACTTTCATGGTAGAGCCGTTTCTGTTTTGACCGAGTTTCATCAGTATGTTTGACGAGGACAGCTATCTCGGCCTCAAATCGCGTCCGTTTCTCTCAGGAATAGGCTCATTCGATGCAGATCTGAATTACGCAGCGAGTGGTCTCCTCAGATTATCTTCCCGGTTGCTACGACCCAACAGCCATTCGGTTTTCACCGCATACCGCATACCTGCACAGGCCAGCGATTACATTGTTTGACGCGGACCAACAGTGTGCTTTACTAAAATATGGCACTATCTTCGGGAACTAAGGTTGAAAGGCTGGTCGTGATCGACATGAGTACAGATCATGATCAATGAGCATAAATTTATGCCAGCGCCTTGTCCCGAATTAGCATAAATCGGAAGATTCTAAGCCACAAGCTGAGTGAAGCATGGCCAGTGGAGAGACAATACAAGAGGGAATACATTATGATGTCGATGCCTGGGGAGCAGGAGGGAATTCTTACAGAGTTGGATTCAATTCTTTTCGTACATTGCAAGTAATCAAGTGTGGAGCTACAGGTAGAGTCCAAGGAGCTCAGGTTAACTTAGGGCACGGCCCTTTTTTATATATATATAGATGGTTCGGATATTTCAGCTCTACTGAGCTCAGTTCTTCACAAATTCCTTTGAAACTATGATCAATAGATTTGCCTTGCGATTCCAGAGGGAGTGACGTTCGAAAATATGTTAGAAGCGTGAGAATTGCCTTTTTCGGCAAATTTTGAGGCATCTTCTCATATCTGCTCTAGCATTAAATATACTGACCCGATTGACTTAATTTTTGGATATATCATACTTACATGCATTACCTAGAGTATGACGTGCCCGGATCGTCAAAATACCTCATTGTTCAAAAGCCTTACAGTATTTGATTTCAATCAGTTTTAAGTCCCATGTCAGATGTGAAGAAAACATTTAAATCCTTATCTGTAATGCATTTACGTATGATATATCCAAAAATTAAGTCAATCGGGTCAGTATATTTAATGCTAGAGCAGATATGAGAAGTTGTCTCAAAATTTGCTGAAAAAGGCAATTCCCACGCTTCTAACATATTTTCGAACGTCACTCTCTCCGAAATCGCAAGGCAAATCTATTGATCATAGTTTCAAAGGAATCGGTGAAGAACTGAGCTCAGTAGAGCTGAAATATCCGAAACATCTATATTTTTAAAAAATGGGCCGTGCCCTAAGTTCCGCAACTGGCTGTAAATAGGCCCCGGGAGATACCAGCAAAATCACGACATGGCTTTAGACGCCTGGATAACGGAATGGTCTAGCCTCTAGGCCGCGGGAGATGCCGGTAAAATCACAAACGCTCAGATTCATCACTTTTTGGACTTGGGGGTGAGGGCCGTGGCAAAGCCCGGCAGGCACTCGTACTTATGTAAAGGGTTTTTTTTAGCCGTTGCTTCTCAGCTAGGCTGGAGAAATAATGCGAGTCGACGCCGCTCGCAATTAAGCCTTAGATAATGTGACTGCAGATTCTCATCATCGATCAAGATATATTAGTTGACTTCAGTGTGTTGGCGGTTTAGCAGATTAATTCAGTAAGAGAGTATGGTATACAGGAGCAACATGGATTACGAATGTAAGTACTGAACTGGAACAAGTGGGTATAATGTAGGATGATTATGTTGGAGTGTCGAAAATGGAAGTATTGCACTCCTTCTAGAGTTGAAGGTCATCCGGTGAGATGGGCTCACATGGAGCAAAATGTACTATTACCCCGAGATCCTATACCTAATGTGAAGCTTCTTAATTATATTTGGGCCCCAGGAACCAAGTGTCCCATCAATGTGCTCTCCGACCTTTGTTTGTCCCACATTTGGTAACCTTTCCGGAGCTGAAGGTCATCCAGTGAGATGGGCTCACATGGGGCAAAATGTACTATTATTCCGAGATCCTATACTTAATTGAAGCTTTTTAATTATATTTGGGCGGCAGGAACCCAGGGTCCCATCACGGGGCTCTCCTACATTTATTTGGTTCTTGTTTGGCACTGATCTGATGTTGAAATCCATGCGCCGGAAAGGGTTCACCTGGGGTCAAGCACTTCATTTTGCTGTTATACTATGCCCCCTATGATGCTCGGGAAATAAATTTAGCCCCAGCGAACCAAAGGTCCCAGCACGGGGCTCTCCTACATTTATTTGGTTCTTGTTTGGCACTGATCTGATGTCCATGCGCCGGAAAGGGTTCACCTGGGGTCAGGTATTTCATTTTGCTGGTATCCTATACCTCCTGTGATGCTTGGAAAATAAATTTGGCCCCAGAGGTCCAAGGGTCCCATCACAGGGCTCTCCTACATTTATTTGGTTGATATTGTGCACTGATGTGATGTTGAAGTCTGTGCACCGAAACTGGTTCACCTGGGGTCGATTACTTCATTATGCTGTTATCCTATACCTCCTGCGATGATTGGAAATAAATTTAGCCCCAGCACAGGGCTCTCCTACATTTATTTAACATGTGCCGAGATAGCATGGGCAATCCCGAGCAAAAGAATAGAGTGCTGCAGGGATTTCCTTGCACCTGAGGACAGGGTCACAACATGCAGCTTCCAACCACTGGTGGGCAGTCAAGACAGCGGTGTTGTGGAGCAAGTGGCATCTGGGAGGGTGGAGATAAGTGCAGCAGGGTGGCAAAGAGATTGATATCCCACTGGACTGCAATGGAGCGGCAGGTGGAGAGAAGGCATACTGCAACATGCCATTGCAGCGACTGCCCGTGGCAAAGACAAGGCAGACTGTTAGAAAAGATGTGGAGGATCAAGAATTGAACTCTCGACAATGGAGCAAATATTACACAAGCAAGCACGGCCACTAAATAGTCACAAAAAATGAAGTGAAGTTAAGCATAGCCACTAAAGTCCATTCAACACAGCCTCTAAAATCATTAGCATAGCCACTATTTCTTTACAAACTTGAGATGGGACATTTTGCGACGAGCCTGCAAAAACCTCATCTGCGTTCGATCAAAAGAACGATTATATAAGTACTCGTAACCCTCTTATAAAGGGAATGGTCTGGGCCCTTGGGGATGCTGAAAGCCTGATTAGGACTCACATCAGTGATCGGATGATTGGAATTTTTCAACCGAGACCTGGTCCCTAAGTCGGTACCAGGAATACTAGTATCAGGGGACCTCCGCTCACGCCACACGACCATTAAGTTCCCCTCGAAACTTGTATTTATAAATCCGATGGCATCGTGGCATCTGGTTCCCTGTTTCTCCAAATTGCACTCAGGATTCGTTGGCAATTAGTCAATAGCACATTCACCATCGTAGATACAGCATCTGAAATCAACATAAATGACAATGATCTGTCATTAGGCCAGGCTTGCGCCGTAAGTCTCCCTTGCTCTCATCCCTGGGGGGCTGCACCCTTAACTCGAGTGCATCGCTCCCTGGCCCCAATTTGCTAAGAGGAATTTGAACCCCTTGTACATTTGTGTCTCAAAGGGATTGACGGAAAAGGGTAAATTGTGACGGGTGCACTGGCGAATAAACTAGTCGCCTGATAGCACTTACGAAGAAGAATAGTCGCTGATACCTGGGATAAGTATAGACTGTCAGGGATATAAAGGTCTTACCTACCGACCTTGTCATCTGCGGACATCACTGCCACTATGCCTCAACCCAATACGGTTCAAACTCGTTTCAACAACGTTATAACCTATCTAGATGCTGCCACCAGCACATTGGAAGTGGTTTCCCAAAGCCTGAAGACACCATTCTTGGATTCCATTTCAAACACAATGCGGTCCTTGCAGAGTTCTATACAGGTGCCATCATATAATATGTACTGTCCTTACAGTGAGACTCACCCATTCGGATAGACGGTCAAGAGAAACAGGGATGAGTGTACCAAAATGCTGGAGCACATCCACGAGATCCTCTATGCAATTATCGACCTTCACATCAAGTCAGATACCGGTGCTGAATTATCACCAAACATGTTGGAGAATTTAGGGAAATTCACCGAGTAAGTTTCTGGTCACCGTGGTTCATGAGGAACTTGTTTGACACCCTGGGAGCACTCTCCACAAAATCCACACATTTGTCGAAGCCCAGCAAGAGAAAAACCGAATCAAGCAATTCTTCCGCCAAGGCGAAATGAGCACATTACTCAAGGACTGTTATGTGGGACTAGAGCAAGTCATCGAGGTGTTCAAGGTAGAGTGGTCGTGTTGTTGTGAGATAATTTTTAATGAGATACACTGCAGATTCAGGGGGTTCATATCCTGAGTGATATGACAGAAATGCAACAATACGCACAGAAGGCGCACGAGGAAGTCCTGGAATTGATTTCGGCTCTTTCGGATGAAGGAAGTTCTGACAGTGGCTCTGTGGTGAGTACCATCACTCCAAGTTAGTTTCAACTCAGGAATGACCAAATTCCTAGATCAGCAGAGTCCTATCCACTTCGCAAAACAGGTTTGTGGTTTTTGTCAAATTCTTCATGGCTGGATGCTAACTTCCTGAAGCTCAAACTCACTTTCACTGCTGCCATCCAAACCTAAGATTTTCCATGGCCGTGAATCTGAACTTTCGAGCTTGATTCAAGCCTTCAGCCAAGGAATACCTAGGATTGCAATTTTGGGACCAGGGGGAATGGGGAAAACAAGCCTCGCAAGAGCTGTCCTCCATCATCCCGAAATCACTACACGATACGAGGACAATCGGGTTTTCGTTACTTGTGACAGAGCATCAGACAGTGTTCAGCTTGCTGCCCTCATTGCCATGCATGTTGGACTGAAGTCAGGAAGAGATCCTATTCAGAGGATTATCCGTCATTTTACCGACATGCCATCCTCGCTGTTGATTTTGGACAATTTGGAGACTATCTGGGAGCCAAGAGAGACCCGTGGGGAACTGGAAAACTTCTTGTCCCTGCTCACCGATGTAAATCATCTGGCCTTGACTGTGAGCTAGAACGAAATTCTTGTTGTTTTGTACTAACTCTAATTTAGATCACATGCCACTCGCAATCGATCTCATTGCCAACTTGGTGGACTACGAAGGTTTGCCCAGTGTGTTAGATCGTTGGGAGACAGAGAGAACATCACTGCTCTCTCAAGGCCATGATAAAGGATCCAATTTGGATTTATCAATTTCACTCTCGCTTGAAAGCCCTCGGATCACATCTTTTCCTCACTCCCGAGATCTATTGAGCCTCCTCTCCATGCTCCCCGACGGACTTTCAGATGTCGAGCTCTCACAAATTAAATTTCCAATTGATAATGTGCTGGCCTGCAAAGTGGCTCTACTTGGCACTGCCCTAGCATATACTGATGGCCAGGAACGACTCAAGACCCTGGTACCCATCCGGGAATATGTCCGAAGAATGCACCCTCCAATGGCTCACCTGGTTCAACCTCTTCTGAAGCATTTTCAGCAGCTCCTTAAAATCTATAGGGTATATCATCAGGGAACGGCATCGAGTCCTGGTATGGTCACACAAATAAAATCGAACTTTGCCAACATCCAAGCAATCATGGCAAACGAGTTGAATACAAATAATCCCAATTTGGCCCTTGCTATCTATTGCATCTGTCAGTTTGCGGACTTCAGCGGCGTGATTGGACGTGGGAGAATTGCCCTGATGGACCAAGTTGTGAACATTTTATACGAATCAACTGACCATAGACTTGTGGTTTATGTCGTCGCATCACTGCTTGGCACAAGTAGAAGTTATCAGATTCCCAATCTGGGCCATCTATTGGAGCAAGCGCTGGAATGCATTCCAGACTTGGATGATCAGGCCCTTAAATGTGGGTTCCATGTCAAATCTTTCGATCAAATACTAAAAGGCAGGCACTAGGCAAATTCTATTATGAGGTGGCTGAGTATTATCGAGGCAAAAACAATGGCATCCAGAAAGCTCTCCACTTTGCTCAAACTGGGCTCTCATTGTCAATTTCAACTGGAAATGGTATAAGACAATCAGCTCTTTTGGCTGCATTGGCGTGGATCCAGTTACAATTGGGCGACTATAGGGCTGCCCATGGGTATGCCTACGAGTCACAGATGTTAGCAAGTCTTTCTGGAGATTTATTCGGAGAATCCAGGGCCCTCCGAATTCAATCCCTTTGCTGGATTATCCTTGGTGACTATGCTCAAAGTATCTCTACCTCCCAGAGGGCACATCACCTGCTTGCTCTCTGTGGCATGACTGGCGGTCAGATGGATGGACTTCTCCTTGAGGTCCAGGCAGAGGTCCACCTAAATAAATCGGAATATGAGGAGGCTCATCACATCCAAACTCAGTTCCTTACCAATCTCTCCAGGGAGGAAAATCACTATCAGCATGCCATGGCTCTCTCCACTACTGCCCTGATTGGTATAAAAATTGGTACATCCAGGCATACTGTGGAAAGGAATCTCCATGATGCCTCCTTGCTGTTCAACAAAATAGGTCAACCACTTGAGATGTTATACTGTGATGCTTACAGGGCAGCTCTTGAAATGAGAGAAGGAGCCTTTGGGGCAGCGAAGACTCGCTTACTTCAGTGCATCGAATCAGCTCGAGGCAAAGCCACACCGATTGTATCATATGCTCTAGAGATGCTTGGTGATAGCCATCTATGGGACCTCGCCGATCATTCATATACTTGGACCGTGATATTCTTGGTCCACAGCCTCAAGGCGAAACAGAAGCGAGAGATCCATAAAGCCCTGCAATGCCTCGGAGATTTCTACCAGGCATGCGGCGATGAGAAAACAGCTATCAGTCTTTTCACCATTGCACTCGAGGGATTTACACAGATGGATGTCCACCGCAGCAGAGCGGAGTGCATGGTCCATCTTGGAGACATTGCCAAAATGCAAGGGGACCTGCCAAAGGCAGTGCAGCTTTGGGAAGCAGCAAGACCATTGTTTAAGCGCTCTTCACAGCAAAAGCAAATTGCAGATCTTGATGAAAGACTTGCTGACATGGTCGATGTCCAACCCGAAGAACATCGAGACACCCTCATTCGTCTTTTAAGCCTAAAAGCACCTGACACCAGCCTAGATGAGCGTGCCATTGGCCGAATAGGTGCCAATCCTATGCTGTTATAAGGAATGAGAGATTCAATGCTGGAGGATGATATCATGTATCAACACACTATGGGTTGGAATTCGAACTGGTGTATGTCTCTAGCTTCCCATAGTTATTTGTGTTTGAGGATACACTATTCATGTGATGAGCTTTATTTACTGACACCTTCTTTTACTGTGCGTCTATCAAAAAAAAAAAAGAAAACCTTCAAATAAAAAGTGATGGCTGGTCGAACATCTAAGTACTTATCTCTGTGAAATGTATATATATGCAGGTGAAAAATATTTGGTGGATAATATATTAGTTGTTTAGAAGCGCAATAGTCGGCTGTGTGCCTGAGACTCGACAAATTGTATGTATGAAGTATTGTTGAAGAGCCATGATGTGCTGCCGTTGCTCTGTGTTTGAATGGAACAAGCAGAATACTATGTTGGTGTGCTCGCCGGCGGCCAACGGGAGAACTCTAAAATCACGGCTAAAACTAGTCATAAGTTCTAGTGTCATCCTACACCCGCGCAGCCACCCAGATCTACATGCACACTGCGCCTCATGCGCCTCCTCATGACCATCGACAGGATTTATACAACCCATTTTGTTGGGACGGTCTGCGCTGGCAGAAATGACAAAAGAAGGGTTTATGCAGTATTGCGCACTGGTCCAGCCGAGTCAAATGAACCCCTGAAAGCAAACTTAAAGAAATAATTGAGCCGACGCCGGTACGTACACTACCAGGGCGGTTTCCATAACTGTGAGTGCCGAGATTTCCGCAGCATTTTTGGAGGGCTCTAGAGCGGAGCGACTCGAAGAAAAAACATTTCTTAGACCCACATGTGCTGGGGGGGGGGGGAGTCGAACCCCAGTTCATCGCGGTAACTATTTCAGCGCCGGACCAGTGAGATGACGGGTGTACCGTACACTACCATTGCTTTTCTTATACCTGTAGGGTGCATGGATTTATGTTGGATCTTTTGGATGAGGGCACTGAGGAGGGCCAAAAGGGGGTGCTACCTGGAACGCAGGAACGCACTGGCGGGGAGTCGACGCCCAGTCCGTCGCCACGGAGACTGCAGAGACCTGCTATGGATGTGATGTGCCGTACACCGCCGGTACTGTCTACCGCTGCAGGTGGCGTATCTTATGCGGTAATTTTCGAGGGTGCAGTGCGATCGGGCAAGGTCTCGAATGAGATGTCCTAACAATATTCAATGGTGCTCGCACTCATCGATGGTGAGGCTCCATTAGAAATCGGTCCAGGTACGTAACGAATAATGAATTCTTACCACCAGCGAGTAGAACGAGTTCGAATTATTAGAGTGTCGAGCAATTTGGTTCGTAGCTGGTTTCATAATTATTTGAAAAGTGGGCGAGGTGAAGATGATCGTAGTCGCGGCCACATCGGGTGAGTAGCAACGGGATGAAGGCGCACGCCACCTTGAGCCCATTTGCGAACGTCGCCAGCCAATAAATGAGGATAAAGGGACGACGAGGGGGGATGGGAGGAAACACAAAGTAAGAGAGTAGGACACCAGCGCCGGAGGGGACCGCTGCAGGCGCGGGCGCAGGCACTAAGAATGCCTAATGCTTGCCGTGCGGACGATACTACGCCTGCGGCAGCCGAAACGGAAACTTTCGGGTGTTCAACAGCGCTGGCTCGCGCGTGCGGGCGCCAGTCTGACTTGAAGTGGACAAAAACAAGGCGGCGACGCAGAGAAGCGGGAGAGGAGACACATCTCCCGTACTTCATGTCGAGGGGGTGCGCGGTGTCAAAGTGAAGCGGGGCGGCCATCATCGTGCCGCACTGCGGCGCGAGCGAGCGGGAGGGGAAAGAAAGAAAGATTGGCGGCGGGGTATTTATACGGACAAGAAGTCGGAAGACGGAAGGGAGGGCCGATGTCACTGTCACACGGCGCTCGAGAAGACAGTATCGCAGCATCGTGCCGGCAGCGAGCCTCGACCATGGAGTTAAATAACGTCAACCTGTCATCTCATTCGGTAATCCCGTATCGCAATCATTCCACTCCATTCCATTTTGTACCCGGGGTCACATCTTGGGTCGCATACATCTCCGCGGGGTAGTTTCCTAGCCGCCAAGGTGAAACTGAGCATGCACCAGCGGGGAATCGAACCCCGGCTCAGCGCTCACCGTCGACTGACGATTCGGTCAAGATTCGATATGGAATCAAGTCGGTGTGTGTTCCATACACCACTGGTGCTCCCTATCCGCGGTTTCAACTTGTTAACTGCGCCAAATTCTCCCATCTACCAGAGAGAAAAAGACAAGAAATCATTAATACACCAGCGGGGAATCGAACTCCTTCCCACCGCATCACTCCACCACAATCATTTATAAGTTCGGCGCGTGTTCCATGCACCACTGGTGCTCTCTACGCTGATTATCAGCCTCGTTAGATTCGGTTAGTCCTTCCCACCCAGAATAACAAAAAAGCAGGAGAACAAGGCCATGCATCAGTGGGGAATCGAACCCCTTCTCGCCGCCAAGTTTGTACATGATTTTTAACAAAGTCGGCGTGTGTTCTATACACCACTTGTGCTTCCTACCCTCCTTTTGACTCTTTTTTTTTTTAACTGTGCTAGATTTTCCTGTATGCAGGATGAAAAAAAGAAGCCAATCAAGTCAGAACCATGCACCAGCGGGGAATCGAACCTCATCTCGTCCGCATCTCAAAGTTGATTTTCTACGTTCTCTTCCTATTTCACGGCGTCAATTTTTTCCGCCTGCAGGATGAGATAAAAGGATGGAATGCCTCTTCACCCTATGCACCAGCGAGGAGTCGAACCCCATCTCGCCCCCACCTCAAGTTTGATTTCCAACAAAGTCGGCGCGTGTTCCATACACCACTGGTGCTCTTTACCCTCATATTTCACCTCATTAGGTGCACTTATCTCTGTTCCATTGGGATGTTAAAAATTGAGGACCCGGTGGACAGTTGCCTACAGATACATGAAGGCGTCACCACTCTGCCGTAAGACCAACATCGCAATCCGACTTGTACCCTACGGACCCCTCACGCCCGATAACGCGCGAACCAATCGCGCGACGTCTCCCAAACGATGCGGGCCACTTCTACGCCATCCTGCAAATGGCCGTCCTCCGGGAACCAGTGCATCTCGACACCCTGGCCAAGGCGGAGATTCCGCGCGTTGCCCTTCAGCGCGTGGTAGTACTCCAGCCCGTGCGTCGGGGTTACCCGCAGGTCGGCGCCGCCGAGGTGCAGCAGGACGTGCGCCGTGACGGCGTCGACGTGCGCAATCGGGGACGTCGTGAAGATCCGCTGCGACTCTGCGGGCGTGCGCCGCGGAGGGAGCGCGCGCGCCTCGTCTGGACGTCCGGGGAATCCCTTTGGAGACGAGTAGATGGGGTATTCGATCTTCCACTCGTTAAAATACTGCGAATATTGCACACGTCAGATCCAACGCGGAAAGAAAGTACTGAAGGCGCACCCAATCAGGGATGTCTGACGACATGGGGTCCGTCGAGATGACGGGGTTGCGCAGGACCGCAGCAGTGAAAAAGTCGGGAAACTGGCCGATGACTTGTTTGACCTGTCAGTGAAACGAAGAGGACGGAGGAGGTTGTAAAAAATCGCACGTACGATGCGCCGTTAAGAACCCTCCGTGGCTACCGCCTATCACAAACTGCTTGCCCTTGCCCTCCACGGCGAGACCGAGGGTCACGAGATGCCGCGCGGTCGCTATACAGTCCTCCACATCTAGAGTCCCGCAGTTCCCTAGCAAAGCGCGCACAGATCCTTCCCCATACCCCGTAGACCCGCTGTAGTTTGGCTGAGAGATCGTATCTGTAGTGCATATGAGTATGAGTGAGTCAAATTGCTACGAAGGGAGGTCCACACACATCCTTCGAGCGCGAGGGCAGCCATGCTTGGTGAGAACGCGGTGGTAGTCGCACCGTGCGGCCCCCCGTGGATGAATTGAACACAAGGAGGCGTCGACTCCGGACTGGAAGGCCTAATAACCACGGTCTGCGTGCGCCCGCGGTCTGGGATATCGATCACGGAGGACTTGAGAATCGATAATGCGGACAGCACTACAGAGGGGATAAGCCTGAAGTATCGAACCAACAGGTAAAACACATACGACCAGGCGAGATATACGGGGAGTAAATACCGCGCCAGAGGACTTCGCCGAGAGCATTGATGTGTCCCAGCAGGATCTCGTGCGGAACCGTTGGTGCACTCCGTGAGCAAACAACGCGCTCGCGCCCGTCAGTAGCTAGCACGCTCCAGGAGTACAGCTGGCCATCGGAACTCGGCGTCAGATCCTTCACGGTCCCGTCCGAAGCCGAGACCAAAAGCACGGTGGTGCGTGAGGCCCACGTGGACTCGAAAACCAAGAAAACCTGACCGTCCAAAACGACAAATGGCGACACAGGCAGATTGGTGTTGATATATAATCCAGGGAAGCCGTCTGATGCACGCGGCTCCCAGACCGTATCCACGAGCACTTTGCTTGTAAGTTCGCGTGCCGTGAGGCCGCAGACGTGCAGAGAAAATGTGCCGGCGTGAGGGCCACCCGAGGCGCACGAGATCCAGAAAAGCTTGTCGTGATGGATGCGGGGGGAGCGGCACGACAGGTCGGCGGGTGTCAGCTTTTTGCAGACGCAGCGCAAGGGTACAGACGAGTTCTCGTCGGACGTGTAGGGGGGGAATTCGATCTCCCAAATCCCGGATGGCCGATTGTAACACCACTTGAGCCCTAAGAGCCGGCCGTCGCGAGTGTATTCGTAGCCAGTAGCGTATATTTTGCCGCTGTCGAGCGGAGAAAAGACCGGCTGGCCGAAGAGGACGGGGTGATCCTGATCCAGCGTAGGGGAGACTAACGCGAGTGAAAGACGGCTGGGAACAATGGAGGCATCCCAACGGAACACGAAGATCGTGGGTCGCCTCTTTCCTGCGAGAGTCTCCCCAATGTGCGGCGTAAATTTGAATTTCTCCCCGGATCCCGTGGGTTCCCTGGCCTCTGCGACATATAGAAGCGCCAATTCGGATGGCGAGAACGACAGGCCGGAGAAAAACTCTGTAAAATATCAATCTTGACATTGGAACATGGCGTTCAGCCATACCATCGGAATAAAATGATTCGTGTGAGTCACTGACATCCTCGGAGACCTCCAAGACGTTCCCAATCCAGATCTCGACATAGCGCCGCTTTTCTGCTGTCTCCCGAAGCACCGCGCGGCGCGGGAAACAGATTGATCCTGATGGTGCGGCGATGGACGACACTATATCACTGGCATCGACAGCCGGGCCAGTCGATGCGGGGTCAGAGCCCAAGAAGATCGAGGTCGAGAGGGCTCGCTTGATATCGCGGACATTATCTCTTATCGACGACGTCATCTCTACCACTGAGGAAGGAGTTAAGACAGAAACAGGCGTACTTGGTGGTCGCACCATCATCTTTTATGAAGCCAGCAGCAGTCGGAAGCGGGAGTTCGGACAGGCACTGGTACAACGACATGGTGGGAGTCTGCAAGAAAGTGCGCCGCGACAACTTAAGTGGGCAAGGGCACAGGGCAAATGCGTACACGTGACATGGTACAGCCACATTGGTCCGTCTCCGTTAGGATGCAAGGGTCGGAGTTGAACTCAGCTAACTAAGTCGCTAGGAATGTCAAATGAATAATCAGTCTTTGGGAAGAGGAGCCCGGAAACTGTGTTTCTGGGTTCTCTGTGAGTGAGGCTTCCGGATGAGCACTAACCCACAACAACAGGGAACACAGTGACCAAACAGGCGGAATCCGAGAAGACGACTCCCCCAACAACATTAAATGTTTCAGCTTTGGCAGAAGCTCATGGAATCAATGTTAACAATAGTGAACCAGACACTGCAATTCAATCACCCGGAACCTCTGAAATTGAATGAACTCAGAAAGTCGGGTTGGAGATTGGGTGTAGATTGTGCCCCAACGACAAATTGAGAGCAGCTGGAGAACAATATCCGAAGAGAATAAAAAAACACACAAGGAGTAGAAACTTGGGGAACTGCCGTCACAAGTAACACCAGACAATTGACGCGCTCAACGTCGAATGAGGAATTGATCCATCCGAGGAAATCCGTTTACAAGTACTTATAATCAATTGACGCCGACCGCCCATGGGTAACTTCAAGGAGATTCTGTAGTGGAATTGTGGCACAAGGATCGTCCCAGGATGCATGAGTAAGGCAAGGCAACTACAGCGCTGACGTTTACAAGTGAAGTTAGATTGTGCAAAACTCAGCCAGCTATCCAGCTATGAATAGTGGTATAACTCGGGTATGATGGCCTCGCAAATAGGACCTCAGGAGTACCCAAGAAAGTCCCTTGCAATCCATATCCTCACGCAGCACTGAGGGCGAAGCTCCAAAGGAAGAAACCGACAGGAGGAGCGGCATTGGCATAACCCGCATTCCCACGTTGAACATCATTGCCAGAGAACTTCGATTACACCGGCGGGGAAAGATAGGAATCACGGGCTGGGCAAGAAAACGTCGCTGAGTTACCACGGGAAAGAGAGGCTGAATGTGTATCAACTGGGATAAAGACTACCAGCCGTAGAAACCAAGGTATCGGAGAGTGCAGAATCAGGACAGCTAAATTGAAACGGAGCGAGGCATCTCTCGGACACAAAAATTGTAACTAGAGCCATATTAGGATGCAGCAGATGTGCGAACGAAATAGGAGGAGCAAATTAAGCATTATACTGGGAGAAGAAGCCTGAATTGGGACTTGAAGAAAGTGTACAGGTTCGAATCGGTTTCATGAAATGACTCCAGGTGAATGTAGAGGTCCTGGGGTGCACAGAGATCCAACGGGTAGATTAACAAACCGAAATCGGCTACACGTAAATTGGGCATGGAAGAGGGCTTGACTGAGCTCCATGACAAATTGTCCACAGCCCACAGATGGCCTAGAGCGCAAATTGGGTTGCGAGTAAAATAAAGGAGGCTGAGGTCCTGAATGCGGGTAGGTGCGAGTTACGGAGACTACATTGAAACCGACAGCGCAGAGTAGGGGAGAAACAAAAATACCCAAGGCTGCATTGCATGTGACAGGAAACGAGATTGGATGCTGGTACACCGAGAAATGATGCTGTGAATGCGACAGAGCAGGAGTGGGGGATGGGACAGACATCTAATATGAGGAAGAACGAATCGCCCCGCAGGTAGAGCGTAAATCGGCATCCACATTACGAGC